TATGTATGTACCAAGTACAGATATCCACGGACTGTATACACAGATATATAGTATATCCACGGCATTAACATTTCATGGTGGTGGGGTGGCAACGAGAAAAAGGTAGAAAAATGTTGCATTATCCTGGCTATGCAGTTTTGCCTACTTTGAACTTTATGAAAACACTTGGCCCACTTCTTAAATTGGGGTGTTACTCTATTTCTTATTGATTTTGTGAGAATCTTTAAGTGTTAAGAATATTAACATTTTATCATATATATTGGGAATAGCTTTTTCCAATTTTGTTCTTGGACTTTTACCTTTGTTAACCTTGTTTTCTATGTACAGAAGTTTAAATGTTTCCTTTTGTTGGATATTTTCCCTTAAGGTTTCTGGGAATGCTCCCTCTGGTTCCCTGGAGTATGAGGGCACAGTGGGACTACTGTCTGAACCAGGCTTGAGAAATCCGAAGGGCAAACAGCTGTGGCTAATGGTTGGGTTAGGAGCAGGCTGCCTCTCCTCTGACAAGGCCATTTTCCATGGACCAGGGTGGTCCAAGTGGCACTGAGTTAGCCTGCAGGATCCCTCCCAAGCTAGAAGGCATCCTGCCAGGGGGAAGTGAATTCACTTGGAAAAGATTGGAGATCATCACGAGTCGTAGAACTGAGCGAGGGTTTGGTTCTAAGTGATCAATTGCTAACAGGGCCCTCACTGAGGAACATGCACAAGTGCATCTTGTAGTTTTATTTTATTTATTTGCTCATTCATTCATTTATTTTCAATTTTATTTACATATTATTTGTAGTGGTGGTCATTTTTGTTTTTTCCATTTTAATCTCAAATGCATATACAATTTATCTAGGTGTAATTTACCTGGATGTAACATGCGAGGTAGGAATCTAACTTACTCCCTCATATGATCAGCCAGTTATCATAACAGTAATCATGAAATCACTGGTCCTTTCCCAACTGATCTGAAATACTATTCTTATCATATACAAACTAGTATGCAATGTTGTGTCTGTTTCTAGACGTTCAGTTTAGACCCACTCACTCCCACCCTGCGCACAAATGTCACTGGGCTTGTGTTCACTGTACATGTTCATTTGGGGAAGAATTGATAGAATAATGATACTGAGTCTTCCCCTTCAAGGGTATGGCATCTCTCTGTTTCTTTTGAGTCTTCTGTTACGTCTTTTATAAAAGTTTTATAGTTTTCTTCAAATAGGTTATAAACATTGTCAAAATAAGTTTATTCCCAAATGTTTGCTATTTTGGCTCATATTTATTAGTAATATTATTTCCCTAGTATATTCTCTTACTGATTATAGTTAATTATTGATTTTACTATATGAATTTAAAAATTGGCCTTTATTGAATCTCTTATTACTAATAAGTTTTTTGATGATTTAAATATGTAAAATTGAAGAAAATGGACTAAAGTTCTATTTTAAGAGATAGACTCACTGTCCCACCTGCTCAGCTTCCCCTGTTCTCTGGTGGCCCCAAGAACAGCCCCTTCAGAAGTCCTGCGGCTCTCCACAGTTCACAGCTTGAAAACCAGAGAGGTGAACAATAAACACATCTGCAAATCATGGTTATTTTACCTCTTCCCTTTGTCATACACACACTTCTTATTTTGTCACATGGGAGTCATTCAATACATATTCATTGAATAAATTAATTATGTTATTTGGTACTTCCAAAGGTTATTAGGAGTAATGGTAAAAACAGGCATCTTCATCTTTTTCCTGACTTTAAAATAAATGTTTCTAGTTTTTAACCAAGAAGCTTAGTATTAATATAATCTCTTTGTTTGAGGAATCTCTTGTTTATAGTCTATGAAAAGTTTCATGAGGACTGGATAGTAAATTTTATAAATGCTTGCATAATGGAGATATTACTTATCTTTGTTTGAGGTTCAAGACTCAGACATCATAAACAATTTATACACAATTTTCAATCCCAGTGCTAAAAATGTAAAAATCCACATAGTTTTAGAATCCTTTTGAAAATAGTTATTCTAGTGACTTTCCAGCTAAAAATCTGGAGGCAAGCCACCTTGGAAAGACTATATTGAGTACCGGTCTCTTAAAACTTTGATAAGCTGTTAGGTCTAGAGTTCACTAATTCACAACTTAGTATCACTCAAAAAGTTCCAATCTTTCATAGCACTTTAACCAAGTTATCAGGCAAAACTAGACTGTCACTACCAAACTTGTATGTACAACACAATTTGAAAGGGACAGCCAAAATTCAGGAACATTCTACCAAAAACATCAGTAGAAGATAGGAATTTAAAATGTTTCAGACATTTTAAATGCTTGTTTATGACTCCAAATTGCCATTTTCCTCTGCCTCACATATAGGATATAAAAAATGGACTCTTCCCTACCCTAATTAGCATGTGGAATGTTAAACTGACCACAAAAGAGTCAAAGCCATCCTTAATTCCGCATTCCACACTATTTTTTAGTTGTACTGTAAAATAAATAGTGGTATACCATTTCACATCTTAAAAACAGCATTTGCACATCTGTACATATCTGTCTGAAGATGTATCATTTCTAGCTGTATTTTTGGGCTTAGTTTTAACATTTGCTGGTGCAAGTTTGGCAAACAACCTTCCTCGTGGGCTCTTCCTTTTCCCCTCCTCCTCCTGACTCAACCTCCCTCTTGGCCACTAAGGGCATGGTGTTGGTGGTTGCAGCAAGGAGGTAGGAACCAGGTACCTGGTTGGGATCTATCTTTCTACTTTTTACCCTTTGGAATAACTTTTTTTTTTTAATTATAGCACATAGTTGAGTTTAGGTTTTTGGCCAAATCTCAGCCTTTTTCTTTTAGTAGACAAATCTGTTCTAGTTACATTATTCTTTTGTCAGAATAATATGTGTAATCTTTCTAACCTTTTGCTATGCTTTAAATGCTTCCTCTTTATTTCCTTCTTTGTTTTATTTTTCTTTGTTGGTGTATGAATTATATTTTCTTTTCCCTCTTAAGAATATTGAAAACTATTTTTAAAGCCCTGGGAAGTTACTTTTAATTGATAAAATGTTCTTAACTTTTTACTTTTGGTTTCTCAAGAAGCTTTTTTGGTTGCCAAAAATTGTTAAATCTCTATCTTTCCAATTTACATTGTTAATCCATTTTTACTGTTAAACATTTTCTGAGGACTATACAAAGCACATGTTTTCTAAAAGTTACTCGCATTTATAGAATAAGTGGCTTTCAGAATTGTGCTACCTCTAATTCTTGCATGCTATGTTTATTGTTAATGTTGCAGAATACTTTATGAATTTTCTTTATGAATTTCTTGACTCATTGCTTATATTCATATTTCAGTCCCTTTATTTGCCTAAAATTAGTGTGAATAGCTTCTCTTTGGGTCTCTTACTATTTACCTGAAAACTGTTAAAATCTTCTTCTTAGAACATGACCTAGAGAGCTGAATGAAGCAGGTACATATTCATAGCCCAGTGATTCAGAAGTATGAGTAGGTGGAGAAAGAACTTAGACTGAGTGTCGTACCAAATGGGAACTTCATTTCTGCCTAGTTTCTCTGGGTTTGCTGAACCTGCAGAGTCAGTGACTCATGTTCCATATCTGGCTTCCACTGTTGGCAAACTATCATCACCATCAAGCTTCCCTCCCTTCAGTTTCTGCCAGCTGTGATGCATGAATGTTTTGTCCCAGTAAGTTGGGAGGTCTTCATCAGGAATGTGTTTTCTGTCTGGTTATTAACAACCCTGATATTGGGTGTCACCAGAACCACAAGAAATATCCCAGATAGTTACTGACTCTGTGCCTCTTATGGCTGGGGGTATTCCTCCAGTCTCTGCCCCATCTCCAAATGGGGCACTGCAGTTCTTCTAAGTGTAGTAAAACCTCCTCTTTTTCCCACATGCTGTTTACATCTCCAGCCCTTATGCCTCAAAATAAAGATATGTAAGATGTCTTTCTTAAGAAGTCTGGGCAAACACTATTAACTCCAGAGCGTTAGCCAACTATTTACAGAGCGTTTGGATGAAAAACGTACCCACATTGTTCAATTTGAGTTAGTTATTGCACCAGTTTGTATAATTAAGTTGTTTTTAAAGCCTTCTGCTAACTGATTATCTATGACAGTCATGTGGCTCATTAACCATTAATAGTAAATCCCTTTTTATCATATTTGCCTCTGATTCTTAGACAGGCCTGACTGACCTGGTGAACCTTGCATGTGTCACCAGGATGGTAAACTGCTGTAGCGGAGAAAGCTGAGCCAGACTGGGAGTTAGGATGGTTAATTAACCACCTTGGGCACATCACTTAGGTGCCATGACCCTCAGTTTCCTCCTTCAGAAGATGGGAATAACACCACATGTGCTGCCTACGGCACAGAATTTGTTTTTCAGAAATAAATGAGATGCTATGTTAAAAAAAAAAAACATGCCAAGAATCACAAAGTACTCTACAAGAGCAAGCTTGCGTTAGTCTCTCTTCTTGAAGAGAAGTGGAAGTTTCCTTCTCAAATTTCCACTGCTTTGATTAAGAGAAAAATGTTTTAGCTAAGAGGGAAATAAATAGTCGATCTGCCCCACCTTGTCTATTCATTCAGTGTTCATTCATTCATTTGACGCAGCATTCCACAAGGCCCATCCCTCTCCTCACGGAGTTTTTGTTTTAGGAACAGAGTTAGGCCACATACAAATACAAAAGCAAGATCATGTTAATCAGTGATGAGTCTCCTTAAGAGAAGTAAAGTGTAGAAAAGGACCAGCTGGCACAGGCACCATAGTTGCTACTTTAGATAATATGATCAGGAAGGATTCATTTTTGTCTATGGTCGAGAATAAAAACACCTAATTAATAAACTGCCCGATAGCATAATGCTTGAAATTGACAAATATCCCTTTTATTTTTTGCATTTTATAACAGCTTTTTGAGGCACACAGTCTAGATCTGATCTAGATTTGAGAGGAAACCACAAGGAATCAAGAAGACCTACCTAGACAGAATTTCAAAACAGTGAATATACATACCCATTTCACGCATGGTGCTGGCCACGCCCAGGCCATATGACTCTAAAACATCCTTTACTGTCCTCATAGACTCATCGTACCTGGCTGCAAGGCCAAGGTAGTTATAGGAGCCCATGTTGATGACATCTTTGATGATTCTTCCAGTAAACCTGCAGGGAGACAGGTAGGTGAGCATGGTGGGTTATCTCATTTAACACCATCCTAGTGCCTGAGAAACCTTGGGTCTGGCCCAAATCATATGTTTTCTTCTTTCTTATTATATTATACCACTGTAATCATAAGAAAAGAAAAAAAAGAATGAACCTCTGTCATTTGCAGCAACATGGATAGAGCTGGAGGCCATGATGTTAAGTGAAGTAAGCTGAGCACAGAAAGGCAAATACTGCATATTCTCACTCATGTGGGAGCTAAAAAAGTGGATCTCATGAAGATAGAGGGTAGAGTGATGGTTACCAGAGTCCAGGAAGGGTAAGGGGGAGAGATAAAGAGAAGTTAATTAATGAGTACAAATATAGGGTTTGATAGAAGAAATAAGACCTAGTGTTAGATTGATCAGTAGAGTGACTATAGTTTATAATAATCTATAATATATTTCAAAATAGCTAGAAGAGAAGAATTCAAATGGTTCTAGCTTAAAGAAAAGATAAATATTTAAGGTAATGGGTATCCCAAGTACACGGATTTGATCTTTACAAATTATATGAATGTATTAAATTATCACATGTATCCCAAACCTATACACATCTATTATACATCAAAAAAAAAGCTGTTACCAAAAAACAAAATGGTTTGTCCTTAGAGGACAGTAATCTCATAATGAAGTTGGGCAGCGCATTGGAGAAAAGTATCCTGAACCATGGAGTGTTACTTAGCCCTGATTTAGCTTGGGCGCTTACTTCCATGGCACCTACACTCTGGTTGAAATTCTAGCAAGAGCCTGCCAAAGGGACAAGAGCCATGGTCACCATTGTCTCCCTCAGCCAGAAGTAGGAGGGTACAATTTTTCAATAAAGCAGGTGTAGAAAATGCAGAGCCAGCCAGGTCTTGTGTTAATTACAATATAAACAAACCACCTTGGCAACTTAATCACTACGACTTCCTCCACTGGCATTATGAGGGCTTGTAAAGGGCTGAGTGATGCAAGACCAGCCGCCTCCATGCCTTGGTTTTTTTCAGATCTGTAATCTGTTGCCCACACTAGGATTTCCTTAAAAGGATTTTCTTTCCATGACGTACCTCCGGGTGGTTGCTCACCTAAATGTCCAGTTGTAGTCATCCGACACCCTCTCCACCACGTCAAACCAAGGCCCTGGGGCACTGCAGATGGGCCGGTTCCAGTTGTCTCTGATTCGCATGTAAAGATTTCGCTTATAAAAATTCTCAAAGTCTTGATACAGTGGCACAAAATCCTGTTATAACAGAGGTAGAAGGTTAGCTTTGATCCCTTGCTTTTTGGATTTCATTTGCAATTGAAGGCTTGGAGAAAACTTGGAAGACCCATACAAAGAACCCATCTGTAGATGTATTTTGAGCAAGTGTCAGTAATTAAGGAAAGAGATGGGGTCCACAAATAAATCTGTGAGGCCCCCATCCCCAAAGAATGTGTCTTTAATGGAGGAAGGAATAAATGTGATAAACTAAGGTAGCAACGGTGACAATGCCTTACAAGTTCCAGAAGTGGTGGAGACACTGATCCCTGCAACTTTCCTAAGGATAATGACAGGTGTTTATGTCCAAAGCAGTTTAGTTGGGGAAAAAAATGGCTGACATGATCAATTATATGTTCTTAACTTTTTCAAACATGAATATCCCCACTCATTGTGTCTTTGGAATTGTGGATGAGCTTGAACTGTTGGATCTGTTGGCAAAACTGCTATTGGTAGGTGGCTGGCTGTCATGTGGCAGAGGGCCTGGAAGCTACTCTGAGGAATTGTGGAGGCCCCAGGCCTCTCTCACAGCTGAGGTAACAGCATTGAGTTGCTATATGAAATGTAATCCATGACTAAGGGGATCTGTGATCCAACTGAGGCTCAAAGCAAGACGTGTCTAATTTTGCTATCTGGCTTGGAATAATTAATACGAGGCAGAAAAGGCAAAAGCTGTAACTACAGTCTAAGCCAAGTACATTGAATGTTCACAGGATTGGAGCAGGAGGAAGAGTCACATCTTCCTGGAGGATCCAGGGAAGCTTTATGTAGGAGGGGCCTTGGAGATGGGTACCAAGGCAGAATGAGATTGTCATGGGAGGGATGCTTGGGGCGGGCTCTCAGAGTGAGTGGGTTTGTATGCTGATATATGTGGTGCATTTGAGAAGAATGAATAAGAATAATAGCAATCCCACTACTGTGTATCTACCCAAAGGAAAGGAGTCATTTTATCAAAAAGACACCTGCACTCAAATGTTTATTACAGAACAATTCACAATTGCAAAGATGTGGAGTCAATTTAAGTGCCCATCACTTCATGAGTGGCTTAACAAAATGTGGTGTATACATACTGTGGAGTATTACTCAGCCATAAAAAGGAGTGAATTAATGTCCTTTGTAGCAATTTGGATGGAACTGGAGACCATTATCCTAAATGAAGTATCTCAGGAATGGAAAAACAAGCACCACATGTACCCTGTAATAATTTGCAACTAATCAGTGGGCACACATGGGCACAGAGAGAAATAAAAGTCATTGGAAATTAAGAAGGGTAGAGGGGGGTGGGGGGGAAGGACAAAAACCTACCTAAAGAAATTAGCTATCAAAAAAAAAAAAAATCCCAAGAACGAACAAACAAACAAACAAAAAGTAAGTTATATCCTGTCTCTCTGCTCAGGACCTATAATGGCTCCCACCTCAGTCCTGATTCAAGGTCCTGACTCATTTGGCTTTCGGTTACCTCTCTTATCCCATGTGTGGGATGAGGCTGCAACATCAGCTGGGCACAGGCAGCGGCAGCGTGAAGCATCTGCAGGAGGAGCTCGTATTTACTCCACAGGTAATAGGAAGCCACGGACTTTTACTTCTCTCTGTGGCCCTGTGTGCCCACTGATCAGTTCCAAATGATTAGAGGGTACATGTGGTGTTTGCTTTTCCACTCCTCAATAATGGGGAGTGAGCCCTCTCATTCTCCCTCCCATCCTCTTTGAGCTCTTTGTTCTCCTTTCTCTTATTAAATGGAGCTGATTTCCTGACAGAACAAGGAGGATCATGGGGAAAGCCCTTGGGGATGATCTTATGCTACTGGTTTGCCCACTCATTCTCTGAGCCTGTTCATTCCAGAGGAGAATATAGAGGATATGCAGGCTTTGATGGCATCCAAGCCATAGATCTTTCTGGCACTTCAATCTTTGGTCCTCCATGTCAATGGCATCATTTCTTGGGGGAAATTACAATTTTCTGTAGGCGAGAATGTTCATAGACACATGCTGGAGACTACCTATTGTATATGAATTTGGAGGATGCTTAGGAAACTCTACTGGTTACATTTGAAAATCTCATATAAAATGCATTTTCTCTAAATATTTGTGATATAGGTTTTGTTATGATTTAAAGCTACATGTTTATTATAATCAATTACACTCTTTCATGTTCTCACAGAGAAAAGCACATATTTTTGAGGCAATGGGATTGTATAATTCCACAAAACTCATTTCCAAACTATTTCTTTTTTGATTTGATAATTTTTTTTCTGACTATTTACTTCTTTGTGAATTATTCTGTATCCCCAGATGTTATTTGTGTCCCTTCATTTATAATTTTTAAGGCCTTCTTTGAAATGATAATACATAAACTTATCCTATCAAGAGAAAAGAGAGAACTAGGTCTATAAGTAATATTTCTGGACTATGAATGAAATTATAGTTTTAGGTTTTATGAGGAATCTTACCCCAAATAAAGTAACAGTTGATTTTAGAGAGAAAGAGAAAAGAACCAAAACATTCTGTCTACAAAATTCAAACGGAATTAATTTCAGATTTGAAACCACAAAATGCACAAAGTACCAGGGGTAGAGGGACACAGAGATTATAGAGATCAAATACTCATTTGGCCCATATGGAAATTAGACCCAGATAGGTAAGTGACTTGAACTTTGGACAGCCTCTGGCCTCATCCACTCTCCTAGGTAGTGATTTCCGAGTGACCTTAGGCTTACCCATCTTCCCTCCAAAACATCAGTGATGATAAAAATTCTTGCCCACAATATGGAAAATTAAAGCCAACAGATTGCCAGATGGTAGGAGGAGTGTCCACTAGTCATAAGAGACTTGGCGTTGGCTGAAGAAAACAACCTGAGGCTTCCCCATCTCATGCCTCATGAAGATGTATTGTCATGTTCATCTAAGAAAAGGTGGGAAAATACTGCCTCCTGCCTAAACTTGCTGCCTCCTCACTCAGAGATCCAGAATTTGTACTTATGTGGAAATCGGAAGCTAGCTCTTTCTTAAGATAAATGCTTTGAGAACAAGATACAGGGATTCTAACCTATTCTCCTGGGGTCAGGGAAGACTTCCTGTTAGGGAATGATTTTTTACATTCAATAGATATTTTATAAATTAGGTACTTGCAACTCCCCTGCAAAAAGGAAGAACCATTTTTTTAACTACTCAGAGTTATTTCTTTGTATATGACATAAACACTAACCCAGATATGATACACAAGGTCAGCAGCCTACATGTTCCTAAGAGGGACAACTAAGCTTGGAAACCTACTTAGAATTCAAGATCTGATCTGGGAATGAATTGACTTACTTTTGGGCATGGTCCTCTTCTCCCCACCTAGAAGGCATTCTGCCTCTGCATGGGTGTATTTCTACTCCACCCCATTCGTTTGAGCAGCAGTGAGATTTCCTCAGGAGCAACCAACACCTACCAAAGGTCAATGTCCTTCAGTCTCAGGCAAGCTTCCCATAGCATTTTAACTACACCAGAAAATGAAGCTGGACTTGATATTTCAGAAACAGAAGCATTGCAACAGGGCATATCTTTATCTGTATCTTTGTCATTTGACTTACTCATTGTCTTTATTTTTCTTTCTGTTACAAATGGCTAGATGTGATAGAGAATCTTATGCCATAAGGACACGATAATTTGGGGGAATAAGATGTAGGAAAGGGTGAGTTAAACCTAGTAAGAGCCACAGACATGGCTTTGTTTCTTCTACAATATGATGATTTTCTTTTTTCCACCTTTAAATTTGTATGGTGTTGGGTGTGGTGGCACATGTCTATAATCCCAGCTACTCGGGAGGCTGAGGCAGGAGGCTTGCTTGAACCCAGGAGTGCAAGCCCAGCCTGGACAATATAGCAAGATCTCAACTCAGAAAAGATAAATTTATATGGTAATTTAAAATTTTCCAAGTGGTATGGATATTTCTATCCAACTTTTATGGATAAGTTGATGGAGAGTCAGAAAACTTCATTGAACAAATTGAGAACTGTATCTAGTTCCAAAACTCATTGGAATTCTTTCCAAAAAATTGTGCTGCAGGGCTTGGTGTTTATTTTTTTTATTTTTTTTTATTTCACCATATTACAGGCGTACAGATGTTTAGGTTATGTATATTGCCTTTGACCCACCTGAGTCAGAGCTTCAAGCATGTCCATCCCCCAGACAGTGCGCACCACAACCATTAGGTGTGTATATACCCATCCTCTCCTCCCCACTCCCACCTGCCTGACACCTGATGAATGTTATTACTATATGTGCACTTAAGTGTTGATCAGTTAATACCAATTTGATAGTAAGTACATGTGGTGATTGTTTTTCCATTCTTGTGATACTTAGTAGAATGGGTTCCAGCTCTATCCAGGATAATACAAGAGGTGCTATATCACCATTGTTTTTTGTAGCTGAGTAGAACTCCATGGTATACATATACCACATTTTATTAATCCACTCATGTATTGATGGGCACCTGAGTTGTTTCCACATCTTTGCAATTGTGAATTGTGCTGCTATAAACATTCAAGTGCAGATGTCTTTTTAATAGAATGTCTTTTGTTCTTTGGGGTAGATGCCCAGTAATGGGATAGCTGGATCAAATGGTAGTTCTACTTGTGTCTCTTTGAGGTATCTCCATATTGCTTTCCACAGAGGTTGTACTAGTTTGCAGTCCCACCAGCAGTGTGTGAGCATTCTTATCTCTCCGCATCCATGCCACCGTTTATTGTTTTGGGACTTTTTGATAAAGGTCATTCTCACTGGAAATAAGTAATATCTCATTGTGGTTTTGCTTTGCATTTCCCTGATTATTAGAGATGTTGAGCATTTTTTCACATGTTTGTTGGCCATTAGTCTATCTTCTTTTGAAAAGTTTCTGTTCATAAGGCTTGGTGTTTATAAAGAAGTGAAAAGAACATATCCCTAGCCCAATGTAAAAACTATTACCAAATTTGGAAGTATGTCCCTTCTTATTTAACT